ACCGTGACATATTTGTTGGCAGTGCTACACGCATGCTCACTAAAACGCAAGTGAGGTATTGCATGATCTGCTCTAGGACAGAAAACCATTTTGGAAAAAGAAAATAACAGTCGGAACATTTTTTCCGTCTTGATTCGCATGGCTTTTTTTCTTTTTTTCTTTTTGAAGAGTTACATTGTTGCTGCGCCATCTTCGCAAAACTTACGCCGCTGGCAATCAAATTAACTTAATGTGACGTTAGTTCTTGTTGAATAGAAAGAAAAAAATCTTTGCTTCTTTTCTCTCTCTCTCTCTCTCTCTCTCCCTCCCTTTGTTTCTTTTCTTTCTTCAACTGCTGATCTTTTAAAATTCGATATAAGCTGATATCAGAGAAGAGACTTAGCCAAAAGGCCACATGTTCCTCTACAACTCTTCTTTATAAGCAAAGAGAGCAGTTGGAATAACGATCGTGATATTTTTTTTTAATTAAGATTGTCACGATTATCCTTCTAAAAGAAAAAAATGGAGACCATAATCATTTTCACTCGCGGACGTGCAGTAATAGGATCCATCGCAGATCCTTTTTTTTTATTTTTTATTAAGCGTTTCACCCCAGACAAGGTAATAAAGCCGCTAAGACGCAACGGGTTACTGAGGGAAAATATGTGAAAAACTACTGTCTATGGTGGTGGAGGGAGAACAAGAATTAAGAAAACAGAAGATAATTCCTTCCCTTACTTGCTCCCCCGATGACTACAATCTTCAAATATTCAAGTGCAATGTCAATCGACATCTGACAGTCTGAGCTTGTTTGCCGACCTTCTCTGTATCCTTTCCTCAAACACGCCTCTTTCCTCTTGTTCTCAATCCTCTGTAAACCCTTGCGTGTTAGTGGCACTCTCGCCTTGCTTGGGGTGAATTGCCTTAAAAAAAACCCAAAAGAAACACTAGGTTCCATGCTTCTTGGAAGTAATTGAGGATCTCTTGTTTTTTTAATTTTCAGGCAGTTTGTTTTGTAAGATGAAGAAAATATCTTCTCACTTCTTTAGAAAACCTTTCAAAATTTTTCATTTTTAGCAAATGTTGAATACTTTTTGAAAATTTGAAAAAAATAAAATGGATAAATGCCACCCCAACCCCTACTCTGAGTATGTTCACAGTCCCCCAAATTAAAAGACAAAAACTCCCTATGATCTTTTTCAACATAACAGAGCCTACAACGAGACTCTAACACCCACATTGGGAAATTCTGATTAAGACGTTCAGATTGCTTTCTTGTACTGTCAGTCTCATATTAAACGTTAAGTTACTCTGTGAAACTAAAGAGAGTTATTAACAAATACAACATTATTTAGACAAGTGTTTCCCACCTTTTTTCAACTAGCGCCCACTCTGGACACAAACATTTTTATCAACGACGTCAAATTAAATTTCGAATATTATACAGAATTCATCTATTATAGCAAGATAACGATTCGGTATTAGTGCAAAATTTTAATATTTTTCATTTCTATCATAAACGCCAATGATTAAAAGGCTAAAAAAATTATTTGGTAGCTTATCTCAAAGTTTTCAAGGAGATGGTTGACTTTGGTGCTTACAGGCTAAGGCTCTTATTCTAGGTTCATTTGACAGATTCTCTCAATGTCTTCAAGGCGGTGATTGACTTTGGTGCTTACAGGCTAAGGCTATTACTCTAGGCTCATTCTATAGCTTATCTCAATGTTTTCAATGTGATGGTTGACTTTGGTGCTTACTGGCTAAGGCTCTTACTCTAGGTTCATTTGGTAGCTTATCTCCATCTTTTCAATGTGATGGATGAATTTGGTGCTTACTGGCTAAGGCTTTTTATTCTAGGTTCATTTGATAGCTTATCTCCTGTTTTCAATGCGAATCTTGACTTTGGTGCTTACTGGTTAAAGTTCTTACTCTAGGTTCATTTGGTAGCTTATCCCCATGTTTTCAATGTGATGGTTGACTTTGGTGCTTACTGGCTAAGGCTCTTACTCTAGGTTCATTTGGTAGCTTATCTCCATCTTTTCAATGTGATGGATGGATTTGGTGCTTACTGGCTAAGGCTTTTATTCTAGGTTCATTTGATAGCTTATCTCCCTGTTTTCAATGCGAATCTTGACTTTGGTGCTTACTGGTTAAAGTTCTTACTCTAGGTTCATTTGGTAGCTTATCCCCATGTTTTCAATGTGATGGTTGACTTTGGTGCTTACTGGCTAAGGCTCTTACTCTAGGTTCATTTGGTAGCTTATCTCCATCTTTTTCAATGTGATGGATGGATTTGGTGCTTACTGGCTAAGGCTTTTATTCTAGGTTCATTTGATAGCTTATCTCCTGTTTTCAATGCGAATCTTGACTTTGGTGCTTACTGGTTAAAGTTCTTACTCTAGGTTCATTTGGTAGCTTATCCCCATGTTTTCAATGTGATGGTTGACTTTGGTGCTTACTGGCTAATTATTCTAGGTTCCATGCTTCTTGGAAGTAATCGAGGCTCTCCTCGTTTTGTAATTTGCAGTCAATTTCTTTGTTTAGTAAGAAGCTGGGTAACTGCGTTGAAACTGCATTCATTCATATAGGAAGTTGATGGGGCACCTTGGAGCGGTGTAATGATTAGCAATCTTATTTAACTGCAACAATTACGACTATGTGGTATCATCCTTCTAGACAGTAATTTTATGTGCCTAATTATAAAGGCACCTCGAGGTCTCTTGAGTAAAAAGGGAAACTATAAATGAGTTATCTATGCACATTTTTGGGGGGTGGGGAAAGGGATATATGTGCAGCTCGCACAAATAATCTGAGGTACTGATATCTCCAGTAATTTTACTTACATGATTTTCGCTAACCCTCTTTATCGTACCCAATGACTCTATATTATTATTATTATTATTAGTAGTAGTAGTAGTAGTAGTAGCATTTCCTTGTATTTCTGTTGCATACACATTTCCTTCCGGAGCCCAACCACAGACCTGAGGTCGGAAATGGCTTCATGACATTTTCCACTGATCATTTTTGTAAGAAAAAAAAACCCAACTAAGATCACACACATTTTACATAGATCTCTTCGTAATGTGTGAGCTGTACTTGTGAGCATAATTTCTTGTATTTAAGGCTACCAAGAATCCTTTCAGTGAGGTTATCGGAATCTTTTCTGATCAATGCAACTACGAATGAATTTAATATCCTCATGTGCCACAATTTGGAGACATCGGTTTCAAGGTCCTTGTATTTTGACAGTTTCTTGAAGATATTCAAAGATACATTACAGTTTGCAGGGACTTCCATGTCAATAACAAGGTACATTCTGTTTTTGCGGTCTCTCATCCCGATGTCTGAGCGATTAAATTTGATTGTTCCGTCGGTGTGTATTGTAAAGTCTCATAAAATTGTTACAGGTCCTAGCTCCGTAACCGGGCCTGGGTGGTCTTCCTACAAAGTTCTTGCAGTTTACGTCTCTTAAAAGTTGCATATTTTCCAATGCAGACTTTGGCCCACACTCTCATGCCCGGGTTTATATTCAGCCAATACCGTGCAACCTGATACATGATCAAATCTTTCTGGATATTTATCACAAAATCTGCATTAAGGGCTAACGCAATTTTTTCGTATGTATGCTTGGTAATTTCTAGTTAGCAAGCAAGGATAAAACTTTCGGTTTAAGCTTACGTAGCAACTGATGTGTACGGGGTTTGTTTACATCAACTTGTTTGGTACGGTAGATTATTGATTACGAAGATGCTTATGTTGCTATCGTTTTTGCATTTGATACATTGCATTTGCTTTTGCTTTCCTTTTTTAGGTTATTTGCAGTAGGTATTATGTTTTACTCGCACTTCTTCAACCACCTGAGCTTTAGATAAGAAATATTCAAACTCGGGCCGTTGCTTTGGATATCTCTAAAGAGCTCGACAGGGTTTGGCATACCGGTTTTCTAAACAACTTGAAAATGTTGTCTTTATCATGTTTTTGAATGTTCTGTTGAAACAGTGCTGTTGTACGAAGTTACTGCTCGGTCCTGGCAGCACTTGTCCTATTGACCGTGGCTGTCCATCCGTTATCGTCTCCGCCGTCCGACGAATTCTGCTGACCGCTTTCACCAGTGTCCAGGTCTTGTAGAAGACAAGTATCACCAACACTATCAGTACTATCGAGTTGGTAGCTGTCGATATCGCCTCTGAAGTAGTCGTCCAGTCCAAATGCCCTCTTAGCCTTAATTGCTGCTCGCGCAAGCCCGCCAACGAATCCGGTTCCCTTGGTGTCTCTGAGGAATTGTTCATCTGCTTCCTCAGTCGATATGTTCGGATTTGCGTAATTCAAATCGTGTTCCTTTGCCGCTTGATCTAACTTATTTACGCCAGGCGAGTATTTTAATCTTTTAAGGTCTGTGCCTGGACCTAGGAACGTGTAGCCTGGGACGGTGAACTCGATGAGTTTACGCTTCGTTCTTTTCTCGCCTCTTTTTGGTGCCATTTACTTCCGGTTCCGTTATTAAAATTAAACTTGATTTTTAGAAAAGAAATTATCTCCCTTTGATAACTTCGAATTTATTTTCTCTTCCATGGCAGGTCTTGCAATTAGTATAGGCACTATTTCCCAACTGTCAGAGTCACGGTGCAATGAAATGCAAAACCTACATAAGAATAATAAAATAAAATGTGTTTCTTATGGAGGTTTTACGTTTCATTGCACCGTGCCTTTGACAGTCGAATTTTTGAAATGGTTCGTTTTTTTTTTCATCAAATCGCGAAATGAAATTTGTCATGAATAAACCACTATTCTAGACCCTTTCATACTAATGCAGGTGTTCCCCAGGGCTTTATTTTTAATTTTCATCAATAACTTTCCTCATGGCATCTGCTATCAAATTGTTATCTATATTGACGACACAATAATTTGCTCCTGTCTCGCTAGTAAGTCTGATCAAATCGATATGGTCAAATTGGCGGCTGATCTCCAAATGACCTACACTCAGTTGTTAACTGGGGCAAAGAACGGCTTGTCAATTTTAACACTCTCAAAACAAAATTGGTCTCTTTAATCATCGAACAGAATATTGACTGTGAAGAATGTCATACTATCATCATTTCTGTATCTGGTCGATTACACGTGCCTTTGTTTTCTTTCTTAAGGTTTTTACACATGCAGTAGGTGTATTATGTTTTACTTGAAATTCTCCAACAACTTGAAACTCGATTTTGGGCATGTTGTCTTCCGGAATAAATTTCCTTACTTCTTTCGTGTCCTTTGACACAGATCATCATCTAGTATTCTGTTGTTCCTAAGTATCTTTGAAGACCAATTGTTATAGACTTGTAAGACAGTTCTAGTTGAACTAATCCTCTGCCTCCTTCGGATCTTGGCACATAGAGACGATCAACATCATCCGTGGGATGATACATGCTGTGGCAAGTGAGAAGCTTTCTCGTTTTAGTGTCCATTCGCTTAATGTCAGCTATGGTCCAGATAAGGATGTTGAAATTGTATTGCAACACGTAGACATACATGTTGTTTATGGCTGATGTTCTGTTTTTTGAATTCAACTCAATATTCAATACCAGACGCACACGTCTGTGGTATTATTTTCTTATTTTATCTTTCATTAGGTTTTGCTGTATTCCATCTCCTTCGCTAATTCCTAAGTGTCTATAAGCTTCTTCTTGTTCCGGTTCTATAATCTTTGTGGCAATATCTAAATCTAGTGAGTGTGTTTCTGTAATTTTCCCTTTCTTGAATGTTACTTTTCAACATTTATCTCATCTGAAATCCATACCGAATTCGTCACTGAAACATTTTACAATATTGAGGAGACTCTTCAACTCATTGTCGTCTTTGACAAAGAGTTTGAGATGATCCATGTAGAGTAGGTGATTGAACAATTTCTTGTTTACTTTGTATCCTTAGCTATCATGCGTAAGGGAGATTAAGGACAAAAAAAAAAAAAAAACAGAATGGGGGACATGGAGTCTCCTTGAAAGATTCCTCGTTGGATATTCAAGCAGTTGAAAGTGGCTTTGCCTTTGGTGTGATTAGGTATAATGCGGTTTTCCACATTCCCATGCTGTGTTTAAGGAAATTTACTACCACCATCGATACTTTCTTCATTTCCAAAGTTTTACCGATCCAAGAGAGTGGCACACTTTACAGTAATCTATCCATGCTGTGGTGAGATTTCTACCTCTTTTCCTGCAGTTTTCCAGGTCGTTTTATTTATCAATAGTTGATATTTGCAACCATACGAATCTTTCCGACATCCCAGGGGAAGAATCTTGTTTTCTTCGAGAAAAGAGTAAGTACAGTTCGTCAGGACAGATGTGGTCCATTTATACGCCTGTAATTTTTTGGATCATTTGTTTAAACGGGTTTTGGCAGGAGATATGTAATACCTTCAGTGATGCATTCTGGGACGATACTGGTCTTATTACTAAGCATTGATAAAGTTTGTGCAAGAGTTTTATGAATTGATAATCGATGATAAGAGCCAAAAGTTGCGTTCTTTTCCGGTCATATCCATATTCCTTTTCTTCTTAACAGCCCGACAACAAGTTCCTTAATAACAAGTTGATGTGCATTGATCTAATAGCAGATAACTCGGAATGTAAAAGTGGAGTGTCGAGTTTTTTTAATTCCAGTTGGGTCCGTTACATTCACTTACGCGCAAAAACCCTTGGGAAAGGTATGAATCCTACCCCAGCTATGGGTTAAATAGTATATATATATATATATATATATATATATATATGTAGGGAAAAAATAGTGTTATTCTCAATATAAATTGGTAATGCAATATTCACTGTTAAAAACAAAAAGAATTATTCTTATAACCTTAAATAAATTTCGGTTTCAGATAATCCACAAAGGGTTGATAACCGAAAAGAAAAACCCGAATCAACCAATCCTTCATAACAAACCAATCGTTCAAACGAATACTGTGTGCCGCTGATAAGCGAGGCATTTTTATCAGCGTCACACATTTTCACTTTGAAGTAAAACTGGAAAGTCAACCAACGGCAATTCGTGTTGAAGTGACTTTCAATCAATTATCATTCACTACGCCAAGAATCTAACAACAATCGACGAAGATATGAATAAATGTGCTTATTATTATTATTATTATTATTGTCATTATTATTATTATTATTATTATTATTATTATTGTCATTATTATTATTATTGTCATTATTATTATTATTATTATTATTATTATTATTATTATTATTATTATTATTATTATTATTTCCTACTCTATCGTTTTCTATTCTATTATTTTTTCCCTCTCTTTCCTCTTCTTTTTTGACCTTCTCTTTCCGTTTCTCATTTCCTCCATGTTCTTTTTATTACATTCTTCTTCTTCTTCTTCTTCTTCTTCTTCTTCTTCTTCCTCTCTCTTTAGAAATCTTTTTCTTCCTCTTTTTTTTATCTTTATTTCATTTTTTTATCTGATCATTATTTTAAGTTTTTTACTTCTTCTTCTTCTTCTTCTTCTTCTTCTTCTTCTTCTTCTTTCTCTCTTTAGAAATCTTTTTTCTTCCTTTTTTTTTATCTTTATTTCATTTTTTTATCTGATCATTATTTTAAGTTTTTTTTCTTCTTCTTCTTCTTCTTCTTCTTCTTCTTTCTTCTTCTTCTTCTTCTTTCTTTAGAAATCTTTTCTTCCTCTTTTTTTTATCTTTATTTCATTTTTTTATCTGATCATTGGTTTTTTCTTCTTTTTTTTCTTCTTCTTCTTTCTTCTTCTTCTTCTTCTTCTTCTTTCTTCTTCTTCTTCTTCTTTTCTCTCTTAGAAATCTTTTTCTTCTTTTTTTTTTATCTTTATTTCTTTTTTTTTATCTTTTGATCATTATTTTAAGTTTTTCTGATCATTTTTTCTTCTTCTTCTTCTTCTTCTTCTTTTCTTCTTTTTCTTCCTCTTTTTAGAAATCTTTTTTCTTCCTTTTTTTTGATCTTTATTTTTTTTTATCTGATCATTCTTTTTCTTTTTCTTCTTCTTCTTCTTCTTCTTCTTCTTCTTCTTCTTCTTCTTCTCTCTTTAGAAGTTTTTCTTCCTCTTTTTTTATCTTTATTTCATTTTTTTTTTATCTGATCATTATTTTAAGTTTTTCTTCTTCTTCTTCTTCTTCTTCTTCTTCTTCTTCTTCTTCTTTTCTTCTCTTTAGAAATCTTTTTTTCACTCTTTTTTATCTTTTTTTCATTTTTTTTTTGATCATTATTTTAAGTTTTCTTCTTCTTCTTCTTCTTCTTCTTCTTCTTCTTCTTCTTCTTCCTCTCTCTTTAGAAATCTTTTTCTTCCTTTTTTTTTAGGATTTATTTCATTTTTTTTTATTCATTAATTTATTTTGATGATTTTCCAACAGTTGCTGGTGCTTCTTCTTCTTGAGGCCATTTTTTGATCATTTGCGTATTTTGCGAGTTGAGACGAGAACCACATTTTTCGACTGTTTATTTCATTTTTTATCTGATCGTCTTTTTTTCGAAGTTTTTGGACTTCTTAACCATTTCTTGTTTATCTTCTTAGTTTCTTAGACAGACCTCTGACACCTTGAGAAATTTTTTCCTTGATATTTTTTTTTCCTGGTTTGCCTGTTTTTGCAACATTGATTTCTGCATATTTGGAAGTTTTTGATTCAGGCCATTATTATTCTTGTTACTTTCATCCTTCTTCATCACTCTCTTCAAAATCTTTTTTCTTCCTCTTTTTTGGTCATTTTATTTTGTTTTTTTTGAATCAATCCGGGTTTTTATTCATTAATTTGTTTGATGATTTTTCAACAGTTGCTGCTGCTCGACGGATTCTTGAGGCCATTTTGTGATCATTTGCGTATTTTGCGAGTTGAGACGAGAACCATTTTTTACTCGACTGTGTAGTTTTAGAGTTTTCCTCATCGTCTTCGTCGTCGAGAGAATTGGGAAGATTCACCATTGATTGTTTATCTCCACTTGGTTTCTTAGACAGACCTCTGACACCTTGAGAATTAGTTCGATATTTGCTTTTTCTGGTTTTTTTTGCAACATTGGATTTCTGCATATTTGGAATCGTTGATTCATTTTTTTTTATTATTTTACTTTCATCCAGGTCATCTTCTCATCAAAATCTTTTCTTCTTCTCACTTTTGGTCATTGAGAGAATTTGTTTCCCTTTTGAAGCAATCGGTTTTTATTCATTAATTTGTTTGATGATTTTCCAACAGTTGCTGCTGCTCGACGGATTCTTGAGGCCATTTTGTGATCATTTGCGTATTCTTGCGAGTTGAGACGAGAACCACTACTCGACTGTTTAGTTGATGTAGAGTCGTCCTCATCGTCTTCGTCGTCGAGAGAATTGGGAAGATTAACCATTGATTGTTTATCTTTGGTTTCTTGGACAGACCTCTGACACCTTGAGAATTAGTTCCCGATATTTTTTTCCTGGTTTGCCTGTTGTTGCAACATTGGATTTCTGCATATTTGGAAGACGTTGATTCAGGCCTTTATTA